TACTCTAATTGGCTTCTATCTGCTTCACTGGTCTTACGTCCAGCATGTACGCATTCCTAACCCCATTAACTATGATCAGCATGCACACACAACACTACTAACACTGAAAATCGCCCCAAAGACCCCAACTCTAAAGGACACGTGAGCTTCTTGGATTGCACTTGAAGTTATCATAATGACGTTACGATACTTAAAGCTAGCATAGCAGAGCTTTAATTTGTCTTTCACTGAATCAGTTCCAGTTGGGATTAATCCTGAGAAAAAAAACTTTGTGAAATCTAGCAAAAAGCTTAACTTTAACAAAGCTTTATTGTATTCAATAAAGGCTCACAAAAAGCTCTTTACTGTTGCATTGCAAAGTTGATCAAGAAAGTGCTATAAAAGCTTAAGATTAATCAGATATTAAGATCGATCCAAATATGTTCTTAAAGTATAAAATTGTTCTATAGATTCTACAGTCCATGATAGTAATAAAATAAAAAATAAAAACAAAAAATTTAATTACAAAAAAATTAACACAGATATAACAATTAAACATATTGAAAGCTCTTCAATGTTGCCCGTTAAGAAAATATCTGATATATAAATAAAAGCTTGATTCATAATATAAATATATATATAAAAGGAAAATGTGTTGCTAAGAAATATCTGATATATAAATAAAAGCTTGATTTATAATATATGTCTGTTTAAAAGGCAAATATGTTGCTAAAAAATCTTCTAAAAAGCTTCCCATCTTATAGCCATTTGAAGCAAGTGTCCTTGAGTATCCCCCATTAAATTTAAGTATGCATGCTTGCAGGAATGGTTATGGCTTGTTGTTGATGCAGTTGCTCTGGTTTGCTAGTGCTTAGAGAACGTTGCTGGTGCGTCCCTCGACATTGTTCATACTCTCATTGCAGCGTCTGCTTGCCTTGCCACGCCCCCACTCGAATGTCTGAGTGCCCGAGACTAATTGGCATTTGATTTATTTATTTATTTTTGTGATTTGGTTAGATCGCACGCCCGATCGCAGCACCTGGAAGTGGAGCCTGAACTCGAGCAGCAACTCGACGCCGACGTATTTGGAGCGGCGCAACGCTTGTCGGCGCAGCGAAATCCGTTTGCGCAATTCCAAATTCAAACGCAAGACGCTGACCAACTCCAGTTCGTTTGACAGCTTCAATGAATCGCTGGAGCAGCCCTCGCCGGAGCAGGCAGCGGCAGCAGGAGTCGCCACCAAGCCGGCCAAGCCGCTGTCGCGCAACAACAGCCTGGACGACACAGCGCTGCAGAAGCTGGCCGCAGCCGTGCGCTATCGCAACAAGCGCGACTCCAAGTCCAGCGCCAGCAAGGAGCACTGCAAGTGCGAGGCGCAGCAGCAGCAGCAGCAGGAGCAGGAGCAGTGCGGTTGCATATTGCGGGAGCAGCGCAGTCGCACCAAGTCCCAGAGTCCCGTGTTTAGCTACAAGGCGCTCAAGGAGCGCAGCAAGTCGGTGCCTCGGATCAGCGGCTTCAGCCTGGACGAGCAGCAGCAGCGGGAGGCGGACGACGATAGCGCCGCCTCGCTGCGTGGCAGCAAACCCGATCTCAGCGAGCGCAAGGCCAAGGCCAAGGGCTTCTTCGAGGTGAAGCAATACAACCACAAGACAATGCCCAAGCGCATTGCCAACCTGAAGAAGCAGCGGGGCAGCAGCGGCGGCAGTGGTGGCGTTCGCAAGGAGAGCTGCTCCACGTTCTACATGGATCTTAGTGAGTTCGATAGCTCGGCTGTGCTGAAGATCACCGAGTCCACGGAGGACCTTGAGCTGGCCGAAGAGGCGCAGGAGACCAAGGTGGAACAGTATTACGACAGCCAGCAGGAGACGCAGCCGACGCCCGCTGAAAAGGCGAAGCGGGATGCAGAGATCGTCCTGGATCTGCTGAAGAACACCAAGGAGTTCGAGCGCATCTACAACAAGAACAAACAGCAGAAGCAGCGCCGCGACAGCAGCCAGGCCACGACGCCGCTTAGCCCCAGTCCGGAGGAGGCGCCACCTTTGCCGCCTCGTCCGCCCTCGCGTTCGCCGCCGCCGCTGGAGGCGGAGCAGCAGCAGCAGCAGAAGCAGGAGCAAGAACAGGAGGAGGAGCCCATTTATGAGACACTGCTGCGCAACGTCCATGTGCCCTATAAGTTCTCCCCAGTGCTGGGGCGCGCCAAGTCCGTGCAGTACTTCAAGAAGCGAACGCCCGCCCCACGACCCGAGTCGGACTACGTGACGCTGGTCTATTCGCCGGATGGCGTGCTGCAGCGCGTGGGTGAGGATGCAGTGCAGCAACAGCAGCAGCAGGAGCAGCGTGACAGCACCGGCTCTGAGTCCAGTTCGGGTTCCACTGTAAAGCGCGACAGCCAGTCGACTGTCATCAATCTGAGCCTGGAGTCCAGCAACTCCGAGGCGGATCAGATCGATGCGCTTTACGCGCGCCCTATACCAAAGAACCTAGTGAAGCGTCTGCTCAATGGCAATGGCACGTCGGGCGGTCAAAACGTGAGCCACTCGGAGATCTCGCTGCTGCCGCGTGCTCTCAAGTCCATCGACAATCTGAGCATGGCCTTTGGGCGCACTCCGAATCGTCCGCCCGAGCGTCGCGTCTCCGATGTGAGTGAGATGTGCCGCCAAAGCATTTTGCATCGCCAAGGCAGCGAGGCGGTGGGCGAGCGCATGGCCCACGTCGACTATGCGGATCCGAAGACGCTGTTCAGCATCATTGCCAGCTCGGAGGCATCGCTACAGCGCGACTCTGTCTTCTCGCTGACCTCCTCCTCGTGCACCTCCAGCGACAGCATGTGCGATCAGCAGCGCAAGCGCTCGGCCACTGAGCTGCCTGCATCCGGATTTGAGTATGAGCAGCATGTGGAGGACAGCTTGGAGAATGATTTCCGTGATTCGGCCATCTACAGTGACGACAACAACGAGAAGCGCAGCACTGATTACGATGTGAAACGGCCACGCAGTCCCCCACCTCCGCCGCCGGCCAATGGATGCGAGCGTCACCCGTCGCCTCCTCAGATAGCGCCGAAGCCAACAAAAGCAACGCTACAGGAACTGCTGGGACAGCATCATCCCAGTGTGGTGATCTGTCCACCGCATCTCAGCCAGGCGGCGTCGCGCAGCTGGGTGCTCCAGCAGATCGAGAACTTTAACAAGTAAACCAGTTGAGAAAAATTCCTTTGTCCATTGCCATAGAAATTCATCCTGTTTGTATTTTTCATGATTATTATTAATTAATTAATTATTGTATATATGGAAATACTTTTAAAATAGCGACTATCTATATGTATATACAATGTACGTGTGCATCAGTCCAAATTATAAGAATTGTAGATATTTTATGCAATGTGTAAGTGTAATTCTAAGATGATTCGCGGCTAAATAATATTTGAGAATTTGATCAAATTTATGTGTTCTAGCAACTATTAAAATTATATTCATTAAATTGCAATATATAATAATAGATATGAGCATTGTACCCGCTAAAAATTACAATAAAACAAATAATTTAATAAAAACAAAGAAATATGTGTTCGATTCGAAAAACCTCGTATGGCTTTAACAAATAAAAAAAAAAAAAAAAAAAAAAAAGATTCACCATTTATGCAGATTTAAATCTAGTTGCCGCTAAACTTTTACCCAAAAAGGTTGCATACTTTTCTGCTGTGCAAGGGTTGACAAAATCAAAATTATCAATGCATACTTTCAGGCATGCCAATAAAATGTATTCGTTGCTAAATAAATGGCAGCATACTTTTGTGCTGTTTCGTATATTGGTTAATGCAGTGTTTGCTGCATACTTTTGGGCTTCCATATGAATGCCGAAATATACAAATTCATTGCATACCCGCATGGGCTGACCATTGGAAATGAAAAAATATATATATATATCAAAATGGAAAATCCTGGCCATATCCTTGCACATGGACATGGTGTGTTCGCATCGTTAGGGCCTCCTGCATCGATCCCCATCAAAATATTTTGCTGTCATCTAAGAATCCACGACTTGTAATATTTCTGCTTCTGGCTGGTCCGGCGGCCAAAGGATATCAGGCAAAACACACAAAATCGCCAATATCTTGGCAACCACTAATGCGATTCGGATGTCCTTTGGCCAGTTGATAGCTCTGGTGACCCCACATTGTCTGATGCAATATTTTTCAGGATACGCAGGCTTGCTGATGAGCTATAGGCGTTTTTCTTTATAAAAATAAGTCCTTATAACTCAGCTGTTTGAAGGATTATCATTCTTCTGATGACAAATTCGTCCTCAGCTAGATGCATACTTTTTTTGTTCCAATGGACATCCTGATAGTCCACTTTCTGACCAAACCCCTTGCAAAAATTGATGAAAAATTTTTAGTGGAAATTTGGAAATTCTTGAATGCCAATCGATAGTACTCTCTCTCACGAGCTCAAAAAAGTATGTCATTTAGATATCCTCAAGGATATGACCGAGATATGGTATCTTAAAAATATCCTGTTTTAAGCTAAATAGCTATAACTTCCCCAAATCCTGAGGTATTTTTACAGGACATAGTGCATTAAGCTCGGAAGGATCAACTGTATTAATCCAAGTTATATTTTGATGGTGTTATCTAAGGATCAAAGGACATAATTTTCACAAATAATTGCAATAACTTAAGTGTATCCTTGAATATCCTGCCAAGTTATATATCAAACGATAGGCAATAACCATCGTCATCATTCACTCAAAGGATATCAAATATTATCCTTGCTGTTTTTGAGTTAAAAAGGATTTTAAGTTTAGTTATCACTGGTACTAAACTTGCATTGTACAGATTCAGCGCTTAAAATAAATATACAAAAAATCAAAAAAAAAAAAAAAAAAAAGTTATCACTGGCTATCGGCTTAACTGAACTAGTTTCGCATACATGCCGCTGTTTCTGTTCGTCCGGCCTTTAGTTGCTATATACTTAGATATTTTGTGAAACAAACTGTCAATGGAAATAAAAAAACTGGTTTGATTATATTTTTCAACATGTTATATTCTCATTTTTTTAAATTTTCTTATACTGTGTTATTAGAGTACCAAAATTCTCATTATAATGAGACAGCATATTATAGATCAATTATGATAAAGACAAATACACATATATATAGTCATATAATAGAGATACATTATTGGAGACATAATAAAGTTTTTCAATCATAGACAGACAAGATTTTAATACGGCTAGAGTTGTAGTGGCATTTGTGCGTCCATCCTGTGACTTCAAGACCATTTTGAATTTACTGTTTAAAAAAGAATACAGAAATTTTTAAATTGTATTAAATGTTTTTATATTTGTTTAAACATGTACCCGCATAGTTGAACTGATATCAGCGAGTCAAGTTGTATAAGTATCCACAAGATAAGACTGTAGTAGAGCTGCTGTTCCAGAGAGCAACTGCTTACTGATTGCGCCACTGCTTAGAACTAAAGACATCAAAATATAGCTACAATATAAATGAATAAAAACTTAGCAGCAATTTATATAAATATATAAATTCGCCAAGTTCATGTTCATTCCGTTTCTTTTGATGTTGATGAATTTACTGGCTTCATCTATCGGGAACGCCTGGAAGCAGCTGCTAAAGGCAACGCCTAGCTGCGCCATCTAACGATGGGCAGTTTTTGTTCTACAAATATATGCCAATCTTTATGTGACTTAAATGAATTAAATAATGTTTAATGTAAATAAATATAGAAGTAGCTCAATTAGGAACAGAGCTTCTAAATAAAAATATACATCAAGGTTTCAAATATTCTGTTGCTCAAAAATAACAAATATTTTATAAACAAATAATGGTATTTGCACAAGTTTTTTTATTTTTATACATAGCAAATTCTATAATTTCATATATTTTTTATTTTTCAGTTTTACATACATAAGTTAAAAAGTCTTTTTCTTTTCCAATGTTAAGCTACCCGGGGAGAGCTGCAACTTTGCCAAAACCATTTTATAGAGAGTCAGTTGAAACAACTGTCACTCGACTCATGATGCAGCTTTAGAAAAGAATAAACAGGAAACAGGCTTAAAATTTGTTTAAACAATTGTCAAAGCCCTGTCAGATCCATATTTATTTGCTTAAGCTTTTATGCCGATTACTTTGCTATAAAGCCGCAAATTTCGTAGGCTCTGATGTCATTTTTAACTGAATCGTATAACTGGCATTGAGTCATTTTTCTTTTCGCAGATATGAAACTTTTACTGCGGAGCAGATGTGCAGCCCGAAAGGCCCAAGCCGAAGCGAAGCTCAAATCTCCACCGCTATCAACAGCAACAACTACAACAACAACGACAACAAGCAGAGCAGATGCAACGGGTTCTAGAGAAACTGCAACAAGTGCAACAAACGAATTGAATGAAACAAAACCACTTTACAGCTAATTAATTGTCGGGGAAATATTGAAAAGCTTCAGAGCCGCACTGATATGATATTCTAATAGCTTTACAGAACGTGTTTACTGCATTGTAACTTGTTTTTCACATTAAATTACAAGAAAAAAAAAAAAAACAATTTTATGAGCGATTGACTTGATGGTATAAGGCGAATTCCCCAGATAATTATCAATAAAGTAATGGGTTATTAGATATATATGTAAATGCAGATAAGATTTTGCATAACTTGTATCATAAAGAAACGTAATTCATTTTTTATCCGGAACTTAATTTTAATTTACACACATTTTCTTTATATATTTAAATTACAATTATTTACATAGTTATTTATTTAGTTAGGAGTAGCTTAAGCTTAAGGCGTTAATTTGTTACTGCACATTTCGCCTGGGATGTATATAGTAGGAGCCCGGCTCATCGTCCTCCCGGTAGATGGCGCTCAGGATAAGGAATAGACTGGCAATGGCCAAGGCGCGCGCTACATAGCCAATGCTGCGATAAATAAAACTGCGATTACTATCGGACATTGTCGATAACGATAATTGAAAGAAGTGTGTGCACTAATCAAGCGTAGCAGCTGAACTAACTGTGTCGCACAAGCAATTCAACACTTTTATTAGAACTGCCCGCCATGTGTGTGCATGTGTGTACGTGAGTGTGTGTATGAGCTTGTGATTTACCCGCAGAGCGAGATTACAGCGTATTGGGAGAAAAACCCAAAGTTCTGACAGTTGTGTATCTCCCGCTCTGCAGATCTTTCAACTGGCATTCAATTTCAAAGCGCAACATTTGACAGCCATGCAAATTATTTATTTGATTCTTTTTTATATTTATTTTTGCCATGCGAACGTTCAGCTTATACGTGAGACGAATTTTAAATAATCGGGATTGCGGCGCAAAAAATATTCTTTGAACAAAATGTTTATTTAATTGGGATCTGGACGGCTCTTAAACCGGCCACAGAAAAGATTCCAGAAATCTGTAGAACACAAATTGAAAATCATTTAGTTTTTACTTTTACATTTTTCACTTACCTCATTTGCCGTTGAAATTGCGGCAAATGGCAAAAATGGGATATTTTACAAAGAATGCGAAGTGGCAGCTGCACCACGAAGAAAGCCGGGGCCAGCAGCAATTTCTTCAATTGCAACATTCTAGAAACTGATGATGTCCTGTCAAGGATCCGCCATCGACTGAGCTCAAAATCACAATTTGTACAGGTAAGGCATCCTAGCCAGGTAACGAGCGAGCTAGCGAGAGGGCTGAGCACAGAAAGAGAAAGATACAAGGAGGAATGAGAGAGGATGCAAAAATCGAGGGCTGAGAATTTGACTAGAAGTTAAAAGTATGTTGAGGAATTGAGAACGAAAACTATAGATAGAAAATATCAACTCTTATATTATACAATGAATGCATGTATGAATGAAAAACATTTTAAGCCACCCTCGTATACAGTATATGACAAACAACTATTGTAGTAATCTGATAGTTTGGAAAACTAAGCGCTCGACAACTTTATAAATTTGAGTAAATTTGAAGTAAGAATGATCTATATAAAATTAGAATCTGAAGGGACTGCATCAATAGACAATTGTTTGATTTATACAGTTCAGTGATTTTGGGGCGGGAAGTGCATTGAACTTGAGACGAGTAAATGTTGCTAAATATAGAACACGCCACGACTCCAACGGCTGTTGGCTGTTCCGCTTAGTTCCGCTGCAGCTCTGAGTCCGCCACTTCCTATGTAGCTATAAATATGCATCCCCATCCGATGCGACTAGACAGCTGGCAGCTATAGGTATATGTATATACGTATATATTTAGAAAAATAGTGGATGCTGCCGCCAAGGCCAGTCCAGTGCAACGTGCAGCGCCATGGAATTCAGAAGTGTGCCTATTCTGCCAACCTATGCAGAATCCAGGTGTGCACCGTTATATATACTATAACAGAAAAATTGTTTAAATTAGAGTTTCTTATTGTGCAGCACGGATACCAAGGGGACCTCTCTATGTCCTTATAGGAAGTTTAAATCACCTGATCCGGTCATCATACTGATCACCTTGACCGTGCTAGTGGGCTCATTTTGCCTGCTAAGTGGCTTTATACTGCTCTGTGTGGTATCCAAGGCGTGGCAGGATGCTACATCTGAGGCTATTCTCTTGATGGGTAAGTCTCAATTCTGTATTTTGGATCGTCGTTCGGTTTGTTATTCTATATGCAATCCTCAATCGCAGCCATTGGCTTCTTCATCACATCATTATCTTGCGTCACCTGGAAACTGACGAATGCGCAGCGCTTGACTCAATTAAGAGAAACCATTGCGATTTAATTATTTATATATGCATAAACGGAGAGATACATATGTATAAAAATATTTGTTGCGGGTTATTTTAGCTGATATCCACTGCATATATGTAGCTGGATATTAATTGAGCTATAACTAAGCTAACTCCTTTGCGGTGACAACATATTTTTGTTGTTATATATGTAGTATAAAGTGAAATGTCCGATAGTAAAGTTCCACTTTTAAATATTGTTTATTATCATATAAGAGTTCATAATAAAATTTAAATTTCTCAGTTTTATAGATAACGTATCAATACTAATCTGTTTATCAACGATGAGAAATATTTCGATAACTATCGTTGAACTATTTAGTCGCTTGTATTTTAAATAAGTATTAATTTTTTCCTTTCTTATTTCTTATTTATCAGCATAAAAAAATCATGTATATATTATTTTGTAATTTAAATCAAACAACAAAACAAATCGATGTTTGTCAATTGAAAACCCATGTTTTAAGTAATCAACTCATTTGGCACCGTTAAAAAATAAATTTTTAAGTTTGTAGTAAAATATAAAATGAAATGGTTTTTCGCCAAGTGCAATCAAATTATCAGGCATGTTTAAAAAGATTTAGCCAAATACGACTCTTTTATGTAGTTTTTAACGTCAGGACAGATTATAAAAGTAACGCGGCTAAATTCAAATAGCTGATCAACAGCATATGTACATATGTGGATATCACATATTGATGGATTTTTATTGGTTTCTTTTTAACAATTTATTTTTGAAGTGTATATATACGTTTAAATATGTATTTAACATAAGACAAAAAATAAAATGCAGCACTAACCAGTGAATTCAGTTAGTACAGCTGTTAATAACAGTTCAGCCATATGTTAAGTAATGAGCGAACCATTCGGTTCATTTGAACATCAGTTACTTTTACATGTGCACCTTTTGTTTTTGTTTACAATTGAAGTTCGTTACAATTTTATTCTGTACAAAGTTTATATGTTAAAAACAGCATAAAATGTCTGTTATCGGTTCTGTTATTATATAATTTGTTCGCGACATCGAGTGTCAGAGCCTGCAACGAAAGTTCCTTTTCCACAAAATAGGAAAATATATAAATAGGCAGGGCACGACAATTAAGGCGACGCTTGCTTAACGACTTGTCAAGAAGGCAAGTAAAATAATATACGATCGTTTCTTCTTTATGATGCGTGCGTCATAATTGGCACGATAATTACCACCCACTTTCATCGTCACTATAAATAGTACAGAGGTTCACATCCCATACCTTTGGCCCTGGCTATTGATTTTGTTATTGCACGTGATGCCAAGACAAAAATTCAATAATCTATGTAAGTATTCCGTGTGTGTGTGCGTCTTTCTATGTGTCTCTATGTGCGTAATGCTGCCAACGGCCATTTTGACTTTTGAACGGAGCCCGCTGCCGGGTCAAAACCCAAAAGCAGCACGAATCATGGCTCATTGCTGTTTTGTAAGCCATTGGCAATATATCATTTAAATATTTCATTTCGAGTATTTTTTTCGAAGTTGGTGTGTCACACCAAAAATAAAAATTATCTAAATTTTATTGTTTTTGAAATTTTGTTATTCTTTTTTTTATTTTATACATATATTTCTTCAAGGTAAGCGCACAAGCCGTCAATTCATTGGAACCTAATATTATGCAAGGCGGCAATCAAAGTGTACAATATACTTTATCTAGTTGTAGACGCTATATACCAAACATACATATATAGAGAGTCGAGATATATATATATGCTAGTGGCACTCGCTAGTGATAAGCACTATTAGTTATTAGTTACTCGCACTGCTGCCTTGCAATTATGTTCGGCGCCTTTGTCCACCTACCGTTGAAGGCGGCGGCGGCGATGATGACGATGACGTCAAAAAACCAAATGATCAATATTGAATTGTTAAAAATGAGACGAATCGCGCTAATGTCTTGCCATAGTGCAAGCAGATGTTCGAGAGCTGCAGTCCCCCTTTTCGAGCCCCAACAACTGCAAATACAACTATATCGACGACAACCTCAACAACAACTCCGATTTAAACAGGAACTGCTGTGAGTGTGCGAGATAAGCCCCTAAATAAGTTAAACCGAATCAAAACAAATTTTGTGTACAATTCTCTTCGAACTGATAACACGGCTCGGGTTCGAGTGTCCGCTTGATCACCCGCCCGCCCACTCGTTAACCCGCTCACCAGTCACCTCTTCGCCCGGCCGCCTGCCAGCTGTTATGAGCACCTCGTTCTATCAATTAAAGCCCATACTGATGCAACTGAATTTAAACTATGCATACTATAAGTCTACAGAGAGCAGAGACTTATCTACCCTTATACCCTTGCAAATGGTAGCTGTGTTTCGGCTATAGTGCTCCGATATAATCGGAAACTTTGCCCAGATATTGTCAGCAAAATGTGTTAAAGATATCTTGATAGCTGATATACGTGTGATAATGGTTCGTTAGTGATAAGATTTTGGCTAGGTGTAAGCATTGGAGGGCATATCGTAAAATCTTTGGAGTCCAAAACGTCGTATGTAAAGTGCGGACGAAATATCGTACTTGTTTTTTTTTTCAAATTATCGTAGCTTTATCCAAACATCATGTAGAAGGAATATCGTAAATTTGGTTGAGCTAAGACCCTGACATTGGGTCATTTGAGCAGTGTAGAGAATATCGTAAAATGTAAATTTATTCGAGTTAACACTGCGACATTTAATATCAGCATTTACTCATATGTAAAGCGTTTTACGATAGCGGAAATATCGTAATTGTGTTTGAGTTAAGAAAGTAGCGCTTAGTCATTCGTCAACTACAGAGAGAATACTTTTAAAGCCTGGACGGTATCGACTCAACTTGTCTGATGCGGATTCGCAGCAGGTGCTATAAATCATATCAAGAGCAATTCCACAGCTAAGCATGCCCATTGCAAGGGTATAAGAACGATAAGATATGGCTCACAGCCCAAACCTCCATCTAATAGTATATGTGCTTATAAATATGTTCGCGTGTATATATTTACATATGTACAGATCATATCATATCAGGCCGAGTAGTGGCAAACAGTGTCCGTAGTTCCATTCAGCAATTTGTTCATACAGATATAGATACAGTTATATGTGCATATGCATATGTATAAGTCTCGCAGTTGGCATTGTCACAAATTGTAATTTTGTATTTCGCACGCCTTTCATCCAAAATTGCAGCCGCTGCCCCGCTCGGGATCAAAGTAGCAAGTCAACTTGTCGAGGAATACACACGGAGCCATTCGGTCAGTCAGTCAGCATGTTCAACTCGATGTACGCGTACCTGTCGCACCTGCCGCGCCTGCACGCCCTCGGCATAGCGGTCTTTGCCTATGTCATCTATTACCTCATTCAGGTGGTGAAGGTGAGTGAATAAACGTGACTTACGCAACAGCTTAGTCAATTGTCTTTCACGTAAACTAACGAAGTTTCGTAACACCATATTCAGCGACCGATCATTGCCTGTGCCGATGGGCCGTTCAAGCAGTACCTGATCAAGAAGATGCCCACGCTGGAGAACAAATACTGGCCGACCTTCTGGTGTGTGGAGAGTCGGGCACAGACTGTACTTGCGAGCCTGCTGCGCTCCAAGAGTTTGCCCCGTGTCAATTATCGACGGTAAGTCATTGATACTAAGGATATACAGATGTACAGCCAGTCAGCTATTCAGCTAGCCAGCCATTCAGCATCAATTCCATGACCCATAAAACCATAAGATGACAGACTTTTTAGTATTCTTTGCAATTTGAAAAGGTCTTGAGCCGAACACAGATTGCTGGGCGTAAACACTGCAATAAATATAACTCAATTAGTGACAAGAATGCCCTGTACTCGTTGAAAAGCGGTTCATAGTATAGACAGAAGCATATACGGTTCATAGAGTGTACGAGTATATGTATCTTTAGATTGATTAGATTTAAAGTAGACGCGCTAAATGGCAATTCAATTCAATAGAATTCTAGAATTAAACAAGCAACAATGTTGCAGTCGAGCAGCATCGACTGCATAATACTCGTTCACGAGCACACAAGAGATCTGCATTAACTTCGCTTTAAAATTTAAATAAGACATATCTTATTTAAAAAATCTCTAAGAACGAGCCAATTTTATATTATATAGATTAGATATTAATAGTCTAATCTAATCTAATTATATGTCTTTACTATTTAAAATACTTTTAAAGTAACTTGCTCTCTTTACTCACAGTGAAATACTCAGACTGAAGGATGGAGGGGAAGTGGCGCTGGACTGGCTGGAGGAGGGCTGTGACGAGCGGGCTCCTTGCGTGCTGATATTGCCCGGGCTGACGGGCGAATCGCAGGCAGAGTATATTAAATGCCTGGTGTTTGCTGCCCAGCAGGCGGGCATGCGTGCTGTTGTCTTCAATAATCGAGGTCTGGGCGGCATCGAGCTAAAGACGCCGCGACTCTATTGCGCCGCCAACTGCGAAGATCTGTGCGAGGTGGTGCATCATGTGCGCCGCACATTGCCCCTCGACTGCAAACTGGGTGCCACAGGCATCTCCATGGGTGGTCTAATACTAGGTGAGTAATCAATGCACATAAATCAATTGTTTACCAATTAATTAACTCTCGCGGCAGGCAACTATTTGGCCCGAAAGAGCGATGAGGCGCGCATTAATCTGTCGGCAGCCAAGATCATATCCGTGCCCTGGGACGTGCACAAGGGCAGTGCCAGCATTGAGAAGCCGGTCATCAACAACCTATTGGGGCGTCATCTGGCTGGCAGTCTGTGTCGCACGCTACGCAATCACCTAGAGGTGTACAGAGACATCTATCAGGATTCGGAAATCGATATACAGCGCATATTGCGAGTAAGTAAATTAATTACAGATGAAGTTAAGACACAAGCTAAACCAGATTTTCAAATTCACCTCTAGTGCAAGACCATCAAGGAATTCGATGAGCTGTTCACGGCCAAGCAGTTTGGTTATGCGCATGTGAATGATTATTACACGGATGCCACGCTGCACAATAAGCTGGATCACATTTCTGTGCCGTTGCTCTGTTTGAGCGCAGCGGATGATCCGTTTCAGCCGCTGGATGCGATACCCATCAAGGCGGCCAATCAGTGCACGCACGTGGCGATTGTAATCACCGCACGTGGTGGACATATTGGTTTCCTCGAGGGCTGGTGGCCATCCACTAAGGATCAGTACATGTCCCGGCTCTTTACCGAGTACTTCACCAAAGCACTGTACGACGAGGATGGAGAATTCGAGCGTGCCTCCAATAAAATGCACGAGCGCTTCTTGGCCAAGAAAACTATGGAGCTGGCCGCGAGCCTGAACGCGCCGGCAGCTGCTGTCCTGGCGGATCAACTGGAGCAGCACAAGCTGAAGCTAATGTAGATCAGCGGCAACCGGACGTCAATTAAAACCGAAAACATATTTATATATTTATAAACATATAACTATATAAATATATAATAGAGATGCGTGTGCAGCAGACCCCAGCTGGAGACTTGTGATATGAAATTAGAACAAAATCCAAAGTGTTATTAACTCCCTAATAGAAAAGAAAGAAACTAACAAAAAATTACTAAAACTCTTAATGCAACTATTTGATGCAACGATTCGACAGCTGTTAGATTTAACAAAAATTAACGCTAGCATATATGTATATGTATTAGAGACATATCAACAAATTGGAACAGTGAACCAAAAGCTTTAAAATTAATTAATATGTTTTTAGTGAGTACAAAATGCAAATCGCAATTTAACAAACAAACTATATAGAGAATACACTTAACTATGACACAGAACAATAATCTTACTCGGAAAACTATATACAGATATATATATATATATATACTATTTTTTAATTCCATATATATATTAATATAAACATATATATTTAAATTCTAAATAAACAAATTGAATAGAACGCTTAAGCATAAAGATTGCATTCATTTCGCACATAGTATACAGAAGAGGCAATTGAAAACAATTTCATATAGCTTAAAAAACACGTACGTTAAATTTTAGAATATAAAAAACAGTTATATTTGGATAGCTGTTGGGTCTATATCGGCTTGTAGAGCAAAGTTGTGACATATTTCTTGCAGTAGCGATGCGTCGCACTCAGCACCATGACACCGTCCTTGATGGATAGGGCGTACAAATGGTTCAACATCACATGGTTCGGTTCGGGCAGCAATGTCGGCTCGCACTACGATTTATAGAGAGAGAAAATATAAATATAATGTGCATAACGATTACATAGCGAGAGACTATAGTCTATAGACTACAGACTTTAAGCATGCCTCAGCACTTGACTTTTGCATGTAGACCACGTCATTTCCCACACACACACACACACACACACACACACACACGGGGCTTTAGAGGTCGCAGCAACTAGAGCAACTGCTGTTTTGACAAAACTGTAAAGCACGTTTCAATGGCGCTCTATGTAATGCTTTGAGTGACATTTTCTCTGATTACATTTGAGTGCTATATAAAAAACATTCATATTCATCCAGTACAACGATTCGAATTAGTTGAAGACTGCAGCGCAAAAGGTAAGTGCCGTAGAATATGTAAATATTTAGCTGCTCAAGCTGGAACAGATAACTAGTTTTATTTGCGAAAAGCCTCTTTAGTTGCCATATCTCTAATTCAGTTTCAATCCAACTGCTGCAATCAGTATATATCTTCAGCTAGTCAGATCAGTCAGTCAGTCACTACAATTAATCAATCCACATAGCTCTAACTCTCTAGCTGTTATTCCTTAGACTAACGAGATTATCATATTCAATCAGTCATTTCCTGCCTCAATTAATTAATGCATATATTTGCTTCTACGTTTCCACAGCTTATCAAAGTACAGCCCGCTGCTACGACTTACGACAGTTGTACATCTTTAAGCTTCCAGTAACTCAATCTAATATCAAGAAACAAACAAACAACCCTCAAGCTGCTAAACTTTACGTCATGAATATTTACATCTACAATCAGTCATTCAGCTGCTCAATCGGGCAACCAATGTAGCAGCATATATAATTCTCATCTATTTTGATTAGTTGACAAAAAATTTATGCTGTTCAAGTGAAGCACCACCGCTGCCGAAGTTGCTGATATAACTTTCTCTACAATCAGCCGGTCTGTCAATCAATGTATTACAAATTCCACATATAAATATAACTTCAATCAATTCATAACTAAAATCTAACTAATCTAATCTTACTCAACCTGAGCAATATATTTTCAATCAATCAGTCTTTCAATCTGAAGCTACAACAATCAATCACTCAGTCAGTTGATTCATATACATTACCGATAGTGGCGTATCCTTGTTGAGTATGACCTGCAGCAGGTGAGGCGGCAGCACTGGCGGACCGGACACCTTCTCCCAGGGCTTCACCTGCGGCACCTCCTGAGAGTACTCCTTCTCCGCATAGTTGGGTACATTCTCGCTGTCTTTGGCCAGCGCTTGGAACACCTCGAAATCGGATGCGCGCACCGACACCAGGTTAGTCTTTTCGCCGTCCTCATTTTCCACGCTTTTCTACAAAAACAAACCAAAACAAACATTAGAATTAGCTCGCAGAGCACTAAAGAGAGAATAAACAGAGATGGAGAGAGCAGAGTAGAGCAGAGCAGAGCTGCTCGGCATTGCCAGTCACAAAGCCAAATCCATATTGTGTTATTGTTTACAGTCCAGCGCTGATTACACAACACTTGAGTGAAAAGGGAAAAATTCAAGTCGCAGTACGTCAGCCAGTGTAAACAATGCGTCGTACACATATCGATTTTGCCCCACTGTGCTGGCTGGCCAGCCAACTTACCAATTTGGGATCGTGCTTCCATTCGCCGTCCACACAGAACTTGTACTGATGGTCGCCCTCCGGCAGATCGATGATGGTCACAAAATTGCCATGACTGCGCACCATCGGAATCGGTTTCCATTTGGAAAACGTTCCCGAGATGGTCACATTTTTGCCCCCATAGTCCCAGCGCAGAACCGTAGGCAATGCCGTCTTCTTCGACTCCATTTCATCAAAATTCTTCGATCCTGATGCCTTCATCTCTTGATACTCATCGTTCAGTTCATCCATAGTGCTATCTCTTTCCAGTGCTGCTGCGGCTGCTGCTGATGTTGTTGTTGCTGTTGGCTCGTTATCAACAGCTGTTGTGCGCTTAGCGCCCGCTCTCGTGTAAAAGTCGTCGTCGTCTTCTTGCGACGAACCCTCGTTCAAGACTGCCGTATGTTTTTTATCGAACGAGAAAGCTTGGCCGCCACCGCCCGGAGCTGCTGCACCTCCCACTCCGGCCCCACCAGCAGTTGACACAGCACCGCCGCCTGCGCCGCCCCCGCTGCCCAACGAGTCGCGAAAGTGTGCGGGAGAACTTGGCGTGGAGAGGTCCGTTGACTTGTGGCGCTCGCGATGCATATGCACAGTCGAGCTACCCGCGTTGCCCATATTGCACTGTTTGTTTTTTTGTTTTTACGCTCTCTCACTCTCTGAATTTATTGTTCACTTTTTTCAACTAAATTTTTTTGGAGGTTTTGGCACTTTGTTTTCCTTGACTTTTTCTTTTGTTTTGCTTTTGGTCGTTGATTCGCTTCCCTGTTTTGTTGTTGCTGTTGTTGTTTGTATATAGTTTGTGTTGTAGTCTATATTGATTTGTATATTATATTTGGCATTTAATGTTCGTAAGACTTTATTATTTAATAGTTTGTTTTCGTCGTAAAAATGGCTAATTATAATTACAACTACATGTACATGTGTGTATATGCATGTGTTGCGATATATGTATGTAAATACGTACTATATATTCGCAGTTCCAATTGGACTTGATTCATTTTGGTGAGAACATTGCAGAGCTGCTTTTGGCATACATCGGCTAGGGCGGCAGAGTAACCAGTGAGTCACTGAGTTGTTATTTAAATTATACATTCAGTCGATTCCAAGATGCTGAAAGAGGATGATCTAATGCTATGAAAAGCAGAAATTTAATTTCTTATAACAAAATTTAAAGTTATCAATTGAATTATTTTGATGAGCATAGAAATTTTGAGCTAGTTCCTTTGAACTGATGTTATCGTGGCGCTTGCAGCCCTGCGCAGATATGCAAGGTTTATGTGTGAAAAAGATTAGAGGGCCAGAGTGTTAGCAAATTAATTAAGAACTTATAATACATAATAATGGCCGAATTGGTAAAAGACTGGCTGACAGACTATCAGCGGGCACGCCGTCAGCCAGCCGACGCGGAAACATTCGTCGTCGAACATGAAACAGATCCCGAAATCGCCGAAGCCATCTTCACCATATTCAGCGAGAGGCAACGTAACGAAGACTTGGTCCATGACATTTGCCAGCAACTGTTGGCCTTCTATCGCGCCCCGGAGGTGACACTACACAAGTTTCCATTGCAATTCCTGCCCGTGCTAATCTACACATACCTGCATGCCGTCTCGGCAGGCGATAAAAAGGCATCCAGAGGAGTGGAAACGTTGCTCATCTGCATTTACAATGGCGAGGTGTCCACCGACGATGGCGGCCAGAAGGTTGTGGCCTTTCGCATGCCCATACTGGCCCAGGCGTCTGTCTATCACGAGCTGAAGAATCTACCCATGACGGACCTGCGGCGCTGGGAGGAGAACTGCAATCGCGAGGTCAAATGGGGTCCACATTTGCGCATTGAATCGATCAATGCTCAAAACAGAATGAGGATCATGACTGCTCTGCTCTTCTGCTACAACCAGCAGGTGAGCCTCACACAGAAATCATCGCTGCTCTATCTGTGCCGCGTCGCCTCGCAACTGGTCAATCAGGGCTTCACCACCAAGTCGGGGCATGGACATCGCATGAGCTATGGGTGAGTGGCAAGACCTTGCTTGATTACAACTCTAACGTTTTCATCATTTTCAGCTCCGATCCAACGACGGGCACGACATTCCCGAAACCTTCCGCGCCGCGCATTCCACTCTCCGCGTCCTTCCTTATCGAGCTGGTGCATGCAATTTACTATGCCATGTTCAATGGCTTTGGCACGGTGGCCATTCAAACACTGGAGGATATACATAATCGCGCCAGCTACGAAATGTTTACGGAGCTAATTATAGTTACAAACGCTGTGCGCAATTCGTTGCATGCCAATCCCTCGGGTCAGCCCAACGACGGGCCAATGGGTCTGAGTGTGGCGTTGACGCCGGCCACGACAACCGTGACGACGTCTGTATCCAAATCGATGATAACGAACGCTTCATTCCGAACGAAAAAGCTGCCCGATGACATTCCCATACAGGCGCAAGATCTCACAATACCTCAGGCGCCGCAGCAGCTGGCGAGCGTTACTGAGGAGACGGAACCGGGCGCCAAGGAATCGCCCTCAGCCAAGGAGAGCAGCAGTGGCGGCACACGCACCTCCATTATCAGGCCCAGCATGGAGGGCATCAAAGCCCAGGCGCACAAAGCGCTCGGCTTCAAGAAATCCAAGGACAAGGAGAAGGAGAAAGAGAAGGATAAGGAACCGCCAAAACCACCGCAACGGAAATTCGATAAGCATACGCAGCGCAATTCACTGCTGCAGTTACAGTCCGACAGTGGATTGGATTACGACAAGAGTCCGTTGAGTGTCAGCAAGTCGAAGACCTACGATGCCGTTGCAGAGCCGCAATCCACCGATCTGCTGCCCATGCAGACGCTCTCGCTGATCAACGAGAATGGCAGCAACAGCTTTAGCATCGATAGTGACTTAAATGACGGCATCGCCACTCTGCCAGTGGCTGTCTCGCTGAACAGCAATACAACTTCCATAACGAGCACTGACATGTTGACCAAGAGCTTTGAGTCGAGCGTCGAGCTGACCCCGCTGGGTCACAGCAACAGCAACGGGGCCAAGCTGGCCGAGCATGGCCTCGATTAACTTGGGCAATTCAACTAACCAATTATAGCCAAATTCAGATTTATTATATTCGTTACCTCCTTGGTATTAACTCACGAACAAACCAAACTGAAATTATTTGGAGGCCTGTAAAATGTAATTCACATATACTTAAAGAAAGAACCCGAGAGAGAGAGAGAGAGGTTATTATATTTGTTGATTATTATTGTCACACTAAGTTGTTCGTATTGTAATCTAATTGTTACTAAAACAAATTAATGTACATTACCAGTTTATGTAATTTTCGTTCTAGACCTAAGCACAGATATACCCGTAATACACAAATATTTATATATAAATATATGAATTCATATATACAAATAGCCAAGTTACCATGTTGTCCAGCAAATATATGCTAAACAATAGCATTTTATAATGAATTTAATAGTGCAACTAACTAAAGCAAATCTGTCGAATTGTAACTAACTTAGTATAAAGGTATGATGGATTTAAGATATCGTATATATGACTTGAAGTGTGTATATATATAATTGCATGCCAAGTTCTGATCAGGCATATATACATATACATATATATATATATATGTACCTTAAAAATGTTACACACATATATATACGACACATACATATACACTTGTAAGCCTAACATATACAATAAATATTTATTGAACGTTGACCCACAAAATAATGTTATTGAAAATTGATTTAAATAATTCATTTGAAATTGAAATATTTGAAATTGATATTAAATTGTGAAATATCAGCTGTACATACAGAAATTGCAAATTAAATAGAATAATTAAATCTACAATAATTAATTAAAGACATAATTGCATACCTCAGCGTTGTCTAGACATGTTAGCAATGCCCAGCAATAGCTATGATTATCATTAATCATCATCAGCTGTCGGAGCGCTTGCGGAATTTGGCCTGAAGAAAGATGCGGGGCACATCGATGCCCTCCTTCAGATTGAGCGTGCGTCGGTGCACATAGTTGTTGTCTAGCACGTCGAAGCCGTTATGATTAAAGATCTCCGCCAGCTCTTCTTGGGCAAAGTAATAGCTGCGAGTGCCATCCTGTCGCATATAAAAGTTTTCGCTTATCTTATGACCCGGCTTAAAGCGCAGCTGAGCCATGTCGTAGAGACCGTAGTCGCGAAACAGCACTAATCCACCAGGCTTTAACAATTGCCATAGATTCTTGACGACATCAACGAATCTGTCGGGATGTATGGCGGAGAGCACAAAGATCATGGTGCAGACATCGAGGCTTGCTGCTTCGATGTGTTCGTGCACCTGTTGCGTTGTTATGTCGCACTGAAAGGCGGTTATATGCTTTGTATCATACAGAGGATTTGTTCGCACGAAGTCCACAGCACGTGGTGAGAAGTCGCAGGCATAGAAATAGAAACCTTGCTCACTGGTCTGATCTTTGAGCTGCTCCTCCAGTAGGGGAAAGACTAGATTGCCAACGCCGCAGCCCACCTCTAAGAGCGTGCGTCTCTCTCCTGTACACTCCTCCGCCAGCAGCTCCTGGAACTCTCGAGTTGTCCAATGGCGATCCTTAAAGAAACGTGTTTCATTTCTCTTGTAGAATAGATCCCAATGCCGCTGCGCATCGATCTCCAATTTGTTCGCCTTGAATTCGGGCACCAGACGTTTGTTTTGCTCCTCCAGCTTATTTAGCTCGTCAGCGGAGAGCTCTTTGGTGCGCGTAGTAAATATATCCTCCTCCATTTAATTTAGGTATTAAGAAAATTCCATATCAACAAATCAGATGGGCTGCATGTGTTAATTGATGTATAAGGTAGCGCAATGAATGAGTGAACGATAACATATGTACATGTGCAAGGCTAAAATTTTATTTGTGATGTCAGCAGTTTATAATAAAAATAATCGACATGTGGAAAATACTAACATTTCTTTTAAATAGCATTGCTGTGGCTATTTTCAATATTGAAAACAATCGCACACTCGATTTATTATCGAAAATACTAAAACAAAAGTTTTTTTTTCTTTATTAATTATGCCCGCGCTATTCAAATGAAAACTCAGCTTTTATATTACAGGTAAACGTGTGATTTCTTTATTACGCAGAGTTCTTCAAATCATTATTAATGAATAACTCAATTTATACATGTGTGTATTATTATTAAGAATATAACAAGTAACAAAAGTGTAAGGCAAAATACCAATCCAGATATTGGTATTGAATTGCTTTGGTCTTTGGTTTTTTATTGTTGAGTGTGGCTGTGGAAGCTATCTGCCCATTATGGTTGGCTCATCGGCCATGGCAACTTCATCATTGGGCGCCTTGGCGCCTTTCTTCTTACCTGAATACCAGAGGAACATGACACCGCATAAAATATTAACTACGAACGTAAACCAGGCCAGGTAAACGCCATAGCCATAGCTATATGTAAAAATGATTAATTATTAAAAAATGTTTCACTTTTCTTTAAGGTCAAACTTACGTCAATTCCGCACCATCCGGATAGGCATAGAACAAATTATCCTTTGTGTAGTCGATTGAAGAGAACAGCACCTGCAGGACTACAAGCGCTGTGGATGCCGCCACTAGGTGTATGCCACCTGCCAAACGCTTGAACATGTAACGCGGATTCATAAACGTATAGAAGGAGAAGACCGCGCCCAGACTCATCACGAACAACGTGATGCAGGCAAAGGAAGCTTGCGTACGTATGTAATCTGCAATGGCGTACCAAGACACTACCAAATAAAAACTGTTACGATTATAAATGTGTGTGTGCGTGGATGCATGCTTGGCTTCGATAACTTTTTGTTGGGCGCGTCCATGCTGAAATACTCGACCCAATGAATTACATGCCAAAATGCAACATTTTACATGAGTGCAGCATATCCTTTTACTATTTTCATTAATTCTCTCTACGTAGAGAGAGAGCAGACAACAAAAGTAAATGGCCTACGAAGAGCTAAAATTAGCGACTATCTCGCTCGATCGCACTAGGCTGATGTTAGTCACGTACCGTTACAATTTAAGTGAGAGTAAGCACAAGATGGCGTATTATGAGAGCAGTTGAAAGTAGCGTGCGTCTCGCTCGATGGCAAGATAACAATGGACATGAGAAAATGAAAATAAAAATGAATTGTTAATGATCGTACATACCCATTAATTCATCATCGAAGCCGGGCTCACTGCGTAGGGTATTTGAATTGGGAAACATGTCGATGTATTTGCAACGCGCTAAAGAACGAGGTATTGTATACTTAATATAGTTAAATAACTGTTAAGATGTATATTTACAGTAGGGTATATAGCTGTAGTAGGCGGTCTGCCCGGCCTTCTTTGGTGGCAACGGCGGCACCAAAAGTAAAATCACGCGCTCGTCGTTTAACACAAAGGCGGGTATACCAATGTCCCTGATGTAAGTGCCCAGCAGTCGAACCACCAATGGATAATCCGTCCAATTGCTGAATATGGCCTGCTGTGCCATCTCCGGTATCACATAGTAGGACCAGGTGTTGTTGTATTTAACACGCTGCAGCGCCGAGCCGAAGGTGCGGCGCTTGATTATCCCATTCACATCCAGCGGATCGATGGGAATGGGCTTCAGGCTAGTCGCATTGAATTCATGCTGATTCGCTTCCGTCGACATGACCAGCTTGTGGAAAGCGCTGCGAAACATTTGGAACTCCTCCTCCTCCCCTCGCGCCCAATGGGCGAACATGCGCCGACGCGCCGGCTCCGTAAAGTTGTCCGAGCCATCCAGTTTGTCCTGAGCGAAGTTTCGAATGAACTCCATGTGACTCAAGTTGCGTTTGGCATCATTGATATACGACTGCGAGGTGTACGACATGGAGCTAAAGTTTCGCACCACCTGCGCATTGCTCAGCGCGTTCGGCACAATCGTATTACGGCAGTGGCGCCACAATCCCGAATGCGAGTTGATGAAGAAGCGGCGCGATTCGGGTATGAAAATGCCTAGGGATGGGGAACAGGGAACGTTATTCAGTTGTGTGTACGCAAATCCCTGCTACGCACCTTCTTTCCCTGATATGATGATCCAATGATCTGTTGCTATCGCCACTATCCACACAACTAGCGAAACGACCATCAGCAGGCTGCAGCCGAGCAGCACACGGCGCTGAAACATATAGGCCTCCATCAAGGGACGTCTGGCCTCATCCCGACCAATTGTCGAGGTGGATATATCGCGCTTCATCTTTGTTGTCTGAGCTCTGAACGTCCGGCGGAGCGCGTCTGTCCTACGGGCTCAGCAAATGTTTGCGGGCGTCACCGGGCGATACCAATGGGAAATCCACACGCACATGGGACAGGGCACGTTCCTACGTACAAAATGCCAGAGAAGAAATTTGTGGAAAAATATAAATTAAAATAAATAAAGAGAAATAATTGTTCATGCTTAAGCAAAATGAAGTCACGTTGCGTATTCGCAGCGTAGGACAACAAATTGTACATAGAAATGTATTGGTATGTATATGTGTGTATGTCTATAGAGCTGTACTTGTGTGTGTATTTGATAATGTTTATACATAATTCTGTATATATATAAATATTCATAAATGTATATCTGCATGTACATACATACGTACATATGTATTTTCTGTGTGAGCCTCTAAATAGTCCTATACGAAGCAATACGACTGCTTGTATATGTAATATGTACATACATGTGATATCAATACATACATACGTATGTATGTATGTATAGCGTATGTTTGTTTGTGTCATAATTATAATTCAGCAGGTGTTTTCGCATGGGAATTTACGCCAAAAAAAAAATAGATTTTTATTTATATTTCATTTAGATTTCTTATTATGCTCGTTCGCAAATGTTAAAAAGGAGCATATTGGCTTTTGTGCAATCCTCAAATCCTAAAGTAAGGAAACATATATTAAAATATGAGGATATTAAAACTACGTTTATTTGGTACTTAAAAAGCTTAAGAAACTGTTTATTCACTATCAAAATTAGACACATTCCAAATGTCACTATAAAATTCAACTGCAATTAAATCGCTTAACGAGCATTGTGCAGTGAGCTAAAACCATTTAATAGCTCGAATCAGATCGTGTGAATTATTTTTGGCTCGCCAGATATTTAAAAGAACATATTTCATGCACATTTGTCTGTCGTTTTTAGGCCTTTTTGGAGAATTTATGTGATTATTTATTTATTTATTATATTTACATGTTGTTTTTTGGCTGTCGTCGCGTTGGCAACAAAAAATCAAGCAAATAAATAAGAAGAAGACGAAGAAGCCATTTCATTAATTTCTGTCAGAAATTAGCAAATTAGTGAAGACATTTACAAACAGAAAAAAAAGCGAAATATATATTTTATGCTTTCTTTAAAAATAATAAAAATTGTTAAGAATTTCTTTGAAATTAAACATATATATTATATATATATATACTATATATGCATAAGTGGCAAATATTTTGGCGAGGAATTAGGTGCGCCCCAGCGCGTGGGTGTGGGCGTGTGCGTGTGCAAGTGTCGTCTGCCCAAGAGTACTTTTACTGCGAGTCAAGCATATACAAATATCACATATATAAAAGCCTTATACGCCATATATATTTGATATATAGCAGACACATTTATCATTTAAATGCTTTGTTCGTCAACTTTGTGAATTTGTATATTTTGTATGGATCATAAAAATGTGGAAATTCTGCTTTGGGAAAACCCGCAGCACATACACATGCGCATAGACACATACATATATATTTATTAAATAAAGTAAATTCATTAGTAAAAATATTAAGTTTAATGATTTTGTTTTTAATTCTCATTTCATTTATGGCTGCTTTCAGCTTTTATTGTTGTTGTTGTTGCGTTGTTGCGGTGTTGCATGCAACTTCCGTGTTGTATTTATAGACATACATATAGACAGATACATATGCAATCGTATTGTTGCAGTTGGGAGTTGCATGTGCGTCATGAAGCCGCCAACTGCGTCATTTGCCAACATTTAAAAGCGAGACAAAAACAAACAACACAAAAATAGGGAAAATCTCTTAAGTGTTTAGAGTTCTTAGGCAAACACCCGCTGGCTGTATGCAAGTGCAGATGTTTTCAAACAGGGTATATTGCTTCGAGGCATATGTATGTATGTAACATGCAAAAGTGTAAGCTGTGTATGTATATATGTAATATTCGATAATAATAATTAAAACTAAAAAAACACTCATTATTGTGTATAGGAAGAAATACACAGAAACGCTCAAAAGCTGAACGTCAATTGATCGAGCGCAAAAGCTAACTCCGAAAAAGTCTCATTTCTCCAAAGAGGCGAGCATTAAAGCAAACGCAGTAAAGAGCTCACTTCAGCATTAAGGAGCATTAAGACTTACTCTGAGAAGCTGAGCTGAGCGCCATTTTGATCTAGTGCAAAGCCAACTCAGTAAAAGTCTCAAAAATGCATATGAAAGAGCAAGCGAGCAATAAAACCAACTCAGAAAAAAGTTCACTCAAATGAATGTATAAACTTACTCAGAGCAAGGCTCATTAGCTGAGCTGCATTTTGAAGAGTGTAAAATTAAACTGAGTGCAAAGCTTGGTCAAGGAGTTTACAGTTATGCTCAGAGAGACGATTCAAACGAACACAGAAAGGGCCGATTTATTGATCGTGTGAGAATAGGCTAAAGAGCGAAGCTCGTGTTTGAGTGAATGCGTCGCCTATATAAGGGCGCTCCCGTTCCGATTAAGTCAGTCGTCTTCCTAACCCACCTGGTGGTCAGTCGCAGTGGGGTAACAGTGGCAAATAGTTTCTAATAAATTCTGTTAAATAATTTAAACACTGCTTTGTTAATGATATTAAATGTTGTCAAATATTATTTATTTATTTTATAATAATAAATTATTTTATAATAATAAATATTGGTTTTATTTTGTCAATGTTTTTTTTTTTTTTATATATATATATTTATTTATGACAACTAGTTGAGCAATCGACTTCAATAAATTCGAATGAACTTAATTATTGTGATAAATATATTTTAATGCTCCTGTATCATGGGTGATGTATATTATTATTATAATTATTACATTCTTTGATAATAAGAAATATCACTTCGACGTTGTTTGCAGACTATCATAAAGTCGTCCATTTTTTGTTTCTCTCTGTCGCTCTTGCGTTTATTGTTAAATTTATTTTATTTTTTAAGTATTCTCATTTGTTTTAAACAAAATCCGTCTTAAATATTTTGTTTTCGTATTTTTAGACCAAATTGTACAGTTATCATCAGGCTGCGTCTACATATTCAAATTCCTGACGCCTAGGTAAAGGTGTGTGTGTGCGCATGTATAAATATATACATATGCACAAAATATTTATATATAAATAAATATATATCCATTTAACTGAACCAACCTGAAAACTGACCGCACGACCAAATTCTGAAGAACGTAATTTTTCAACAATTTTTTCATTGTCTTTTATTTGCTATATATATGTATATATGCATATCTATTTATACTCGTTCAGAGAACGACAACAAAAAGAGCATATTGGTTTTAGTGCAATGCCTGTCTAGCTGTTCAGCTGAAAACCGGAAATTAAGTATAGCTTGTCGTAGGTGCATGTATAGAGAGAATCTGGCGTTGTCCAAAACAGGAATATATATGTTTGTATTAGAGGTAAAACTTTGGAATTTCATGTATGTATGTCACAGCCACAATCCTCAAATGTCATCCATAGATTTGTGCGTTTTACTTTCTCTTTAGATTATAGACATAAATATATATATACCTGTATATATACATATGTTAAATAAACCGCCTCTCAGTTGATATATATTATATACAATATATACACATATGTATATTCATATCTATCTCATGTTATATATATAATTTCGATCTTATAGGTATGTATATTTGGGTGTAGTGTATATTATATCGTTCATCCATTGTAGTACTGTAATTAGTCAAAATAAACAATGTGCTTGACAGTTGTATTATTAGAAATAATAAGTTTTGCCGCAGGATTTATGTAGACCAGCCTAACTGCGCATTGAGATATCATTTTTGGGTGTATTCCAAAAATCTGACAAATTCCACTTTTTTTTAAAGTAAAAGTTGAGTTCAGTTTACATACTTCGAAAATTCTGAACGAGCATTAAGCAGTCGATGGTGCCCAACTTGAAAGTTTTTACTTTGCTTTCTATTGACAGTTTTGACATGGGAATTTTTTTAAATGCATATATATATGTATGTATATGATATATGTATATAATATATATACTATATATATAACACACGCGCGTATAACAAAAATATTTAGCCTAAATCTAAAATAAAATAAAAAACTTAGTGAAATTTATATGTATTATGCAAACAACAAATGCTGTGAATGTTTTAAACAATTTTCGTATTATTTTTAAGTTTATTAGTTTAACAGTTTATGCATAAATTAATTCTAAATTCGGTTTTGATTTGTTTTGGTTTTTCATATAATTTTATTTTATTTTTTCAGTTATTCTGTTTTTTGATTTATGGTTATATAAGTGCAGCCAAACACTTGTTTCAAATATTTAGATTAAATGCAACATTGTTTACCATTAAAACTTTCGAACTTGCAACTGAATTTTTATAGTTGACGGCGGTTTGAATGCGAATGCGTTTCTTTTTATTGCTTCAGATTTTGTTTATATTGACGAACGAAATTTGTGATTTTCTTGCTTTTTCTTTTTACGCGTCTTTTAGAAATTAAAATAAATAAATATATTTTTGGGTTTCAGCGAACAACAACACAATTTAAATCGAAGCGAAACCGTCGAAATATCTCGCGACTGCTGCGGCGGCTGTTGCTGCTGCTGCTGTTGCTGGTGCTGCTGCTTCGAGGCACAGGCACTGCCACAGACTGACTGACTGCGACTACATAGAGGCAAGAGTAAAGGCAATGCCATCGCCAGTGGTTGCCCCAAAAAAAACAAAAACAAAAGGAGCTCTGCCATTGTTCGCTTTAGATTTAGCTTTAGCCCGCCGGCGTTGATTTGCGAGCGCACAAAGTTTTCTACGGCTCGCAACATAAACATAATTGCGGGCGTGCTAGGAAGAGAGCCATACACACACACACACGCACGCACGCGAGCGAAGACATATGTATGTGTGTACATTAGGCAGGGGTATATAAATAAATTTACATATATAACATATGTATGTATATATACATATATAGCAACCGTATCGTGAAAGCCAAACAGTGCATGGCCACCTGCAGCAGGCGCTACTTGGCTAGCTGGCAGGCTGCCTGGCTGATTGTCTAACTAGTTCAGTGGACGAAGGGCTAGCCAAATAGCTGACTGGCATGATGTGTAGCTGAATGGCTGGTTTGCTGTGTGTCTGGCTGAATAGCTGGGTGAATGGCTGGCTGCATGACTTGCAGATTTACTGGTCTAGGCGGCTAGCTGAAAGCTGACTGACTGTAAGGGTAACTAAAGGTCTACTGAGTCTTGCTGAATGACTGGGAGAGTAGCTGAATTACTAGCAGACTCTCGAAGTACTGAAAGAGTAACTGAATTATGAAAAAATTGGCGGAATTATTGAGAGACTGTTTAATTACTGATAAAATGGATAAATTGCTGATAGACTAGCTTAATTGCTGAGAATGGCTAAAATGCTGTAAAATTGGCTGAATTACTGAATGACTGAATTTGCTGAATTTCTGTGAAATTAGCTGATAGATTAGCAAAATTATTAAGCGAACTGAACTATTGAAAGACTGGCTGAATTGCTGAAAAGCTGAATGAATTGAGAGCTAATAAGCTTTCCAAGCTAGTTGGCTGATTGAATGTCTAAAAGAAATACTGAGTGCTTATAGCTGAATTGTTCGGCCCTCTGAATGATTAAGTAGCTAGTTGCCTAACTAACTCGCTGAATATAGAGCTGAATGGATAAGCATACTAGATAGCTGACCAGAGGCCGACTGCCTGTTAGACTGTATGGCTGGTCAATGACTGAACTGGACAGAACGACTAAGTGGGCAGCTGGCTAGCTGAATTGCTGTATAGCAAGCGAATCCCCAAGTCGCGGTCGCGAAGGTCTGCGTCATCGTTTTTTAATTGCGCCATTAAATCAGAAAAAAAAAGAGCCAGCAGGCACACTCTATTCAGCAATATCTTTGTGTGTGAGTGTGTGCGTGCGTAAAATTAGAAATTAATGTATTTAGGCATCTTCGCTCTTTTTATAATGCTGCAGAGCCATGGGCAGCTATTTATATAATATATGTATGTGTACAAATCGTACAGCCCGCCAGTCAGCCAGCCAATATAGCATGCCAACACACACGCTCACTCGCTCGCATTCGCCATTAAACGTTGACAACGACTTTATGAATGCTATTCGTTCTTCTTATATTCGTTTCGTACTTTCTGTTTATTTTTTCTTGGGCTTTTTGGCATACCATTTAGCGCATCATTCAAAAGCCAAATGTGGATGACGTCGTGCCACTTGTTCGTGCTTATTTGGCTCCGATTCTATTGCTTTCTGTCTGTGATGCGCAGTGCGCCCAAATCTAAATTCAATTCGCTGAGCAAATCATTTGGAGCAGCGCCTTGAAGTGTCAGCTGGGCTATCACCTGTTGAGCCTCTGGGCACTTAAAGCAGGCGTTGCGTATGGCCAAAATGCTCCACTCGCGCATCACTTGAACGAGAAAAAGAGAAGCGTTTATTTAATTTTCCATTGACTCGATACTCCCTCCCACATCACTTACAAGGATTACGTGCATCCATGACTGTGCATTCGAGCAGCGCTGGCAGCAGCTGAGTATCGAGACAGTATCCTCTATTGGCCACGTTTTCATACAACAAATTGGCTGTGCAGCGAACGAGCAAGGTTTTCAACTCAAAGGAGACTCTCGCCTCGTAGTCCGCATCGATGTTGGAGCTGAGCGCCACTTCCTCCAGTTTTGTCATGGGTTTATCCAGGCAGCTGTCCGGCTCCTTACCAGCTGCAATTACGCAGCGTAGCAGGCTGCTCACGTTAATGAACAGCGACTGATCGGCTGCATATGTTTTGGCATATTTCTCCGAGCCGCTGGCGCTTGCTATGATACGTAGCAGAGTGTGCACTTCGCGTGGATGCAGCTGGTGCCTCAGCTTAATTGTTTCACGTAATATACAATCGGATTTCAAGCGGAACTCCTTGGCAAAGAATTGCAGTAATATGTTGTTAATTTCACCATTTGGACTGTCCTCTCGCAGATAATGAGCGACATAGTCAAGAAAGGTTATACGCTCCTCAACAGACTTCAGTTGTTGATAGCACTGCACACAGCTTCGTCCATCTTTTACAATAAACTGTTCCATCAAGAAATGCAAATATTCAAAATTATAGTCCGTTTGCGTTTCAATGATGGCCTGCCACAGCTTGACACACGTCTCAAATACCAGTTGATCCCCAGGCAAACGTGCGCCCATATATATATTATACATAATCATGAGCAGCACATTATTCGAGCTGCCCAATGGAGCTATCGCTGCTTGCTCGGCAATTTGGGCTCCATGTGCTTGCCAAATTGCAGCCTGGGACTCTTCATTATTAACTACGCTATTGGCCAGTACCTGTAATGTCAATATATGCAGTGTGCGATGCTCTGTTCGCATAATTGGGTTAAATACAACATCTCTAACGAATCTCGCAAATTCTGCATTTTTTGCCAATGTTCGTTGACTTTCCGGACTCTGGGTCAGTACCAAACGCAAGTTCTTTAATAGCGTCGTAATTTCAGCTACATTTTCAGCTATGTTTAATTTCAATATTTGCTCCAGTACTTCGCTAGTTTCCTTATGCTATAAAAAAACATTAAATCGGTTAAATAAATAATCAAGTCAAAATATTTATTGTTTACCGGCTCCACATGTGCCATATTTGTATTTGTGCCAATCAGAACTGTCAAATAACCGATGAAATATTATCGATAACAACTGTTAACAACCGTCAAACCGACCGTATGAACAATTGATAAATGAAATTTTTTTTTGTTAATTATTCAACAAAATCAGTGTAATATAGTAAAAGTCTTACCTTACATAATCAATCTTAAGGGATAATACGGCTAAATGATGTATGTTAAAGGTTATCGGTGTATCGCATATCTAGCCGGTTAACAGCGCTGTTAAATGACACGTATTTCTGAGCTTTAGGTTAACAGCTGTTGTAAATTAATTGCACATTTAGCTTGCCTGCTAATACAAATTTTGGTTTTAATTGTCAATATTAGAAAAAGAATATTAACAAAATTTTATATTGTTAAAATTTGGCCACTAAACAATTTTTGGTTCTGTTAATAACATTAAAGCGAAATGTAAGTCTAACAGACGGAAGAGCAAGCAGCAAATGGCAAAAAATAAACAAAAAGCTACAAAAAACAAACATATATTTTGAAATAATTACAACTTTGAAGCCAAGCTTTCGACTTGTAAATATCTAACGTGTTGACTGATACAAACAACATAAAACCTCCAACATTATACGGCTGTGGCGTATTAGAACACAAAGAACAAGTCAACGTGGACGGACAATAACCAAATTGAAATCCAGCAAAATCCCAACGGAACCTTAATTGTTTAACAAAATTGGAAAGAAATCAAATCAACAGAACATTTTTATGTCAACCAGCTTTGTTGTACGTCGAGCACAAGGCAAACACTTTATTTATAATATATATACACCGTAGCTTATGCAAAATTCTTGACACCTTCAATATATTATGCTTGTTAATCGTGCGCTATGCCAAAGTTGGTTAACACAGGTGACGTAAGTAAGGATGCCCATAAAGGAGGCACAGGCACGCCCACATTTTAAATTCATAAATCTATGTTGATATTTTAGTTATCGATTTCATATTGGAAATGGCGCAACACGTTTTCAAGCATGCCGCCAGAGTTTCTATGTACAAAGATGTGGATCAGGTCAGCCGGTGCGTAATTTCCATGCACAGAAGGCCAGATGGAGTAACATAAAGTCACCTGTCATTACACCTGTTGGCGATGGCGGCGGCCATGTGCCAATGAACAATGTAATCAAGGCGATCGCATTTACCGGCGCAGTAAGTGAAATGCTCCATGCACCGCTCTCATCAATTATTTGTTATTGATTTGAACTTTTGTTTAGTTCAGCCTCGGTTGCTTTGCAGGTGCCACAATTGTTGAATACGAGAATACGCGTAGCATGATCCTCTCTAAGGCGAAACAGGCCCGATTCGGCTGGATGCAGAGTCGCTCGTTAATGGACCGTGATAGCTGGTCGCAGTTAAAGAATGACATTAAACGTTTCTGGGACTCCTTGTCGCCCGGGGATAAAACCTTTGCGCCGATCTTGGTTTGCAATCTGCTCGCATTTGGACTGTGGCGTGTTCCATCGATGCGGAATATGATGATGACATACTTCACATCAAATCCAGCAGCACGTAAATGAAACGCTTAAGTGCTTCACTAGATTATCCCATTTAATTCTCTACTTTAACTCTGCAGGCATTGTGTGCTGGCCCATGTTCCTCTCCACATTCAGCCACTACTCGGTTATGCACATATTTGCCAATATGTATGTGTTGCATAGCTTCTCAAATGCTGCCGTCTTATCCATGGGCAAGGAGCAATTCATGGCCGTCTACCTCAGCGCTGGCGTTTTCTCCAGCTTGATGAGCGTACTCTACAAAGCGGGAACGCGACAACCTGGCATGTCACTAGGAGCGGTGGGTCTCATATAGATAGAAGAGCAATGTATATTTATTCATTTATATTTATTCAAAATCTCATATAATTTAGTCAGGTGCCATTATGACCGTCCTGGCCTACGTCTGTGCACAATACCCGGATACACAACTGAGCATTTTGTTCCTGCCAACTGTCACGTTCTCTGCGGGAGCTGCAATTAAAGTTATCATGGGCATCGATTTTGCCGGCTGCGTCATGGGCTGGAAATTCTTTGATCATGCAGCACATTTAGGTGGAGCTCTGTTCGGCATGTGAGTAACAACATAAATAGCACGTCCTCCATTTCAGATATTTGACATCTTTCCAATGTCTTTCAGCTTTTGGGCGAACTATGGCGCGCAGGTGTGGGCGAAACGCATTAGCTTACTAAATTACTATCACGAGCTGCGCCGAACGAAACAAAAATAATAATGATATAACATTGGGTAATCAACCGAGGATCATCATCGTTCAGCCTTTGAGGCTCGTGTTATCATGTGTTAGGAGGTTCAATAAAATCCACAAATTATAATTTATACAATTTCAATGTGATTGTTCTGATCGATTGCGCTGCAATCGTTGGATGATCTCTTTACGCCTCTGCAGCAGCTTCTCCCGCAACTCTTGGGAATTCTCTCTTTCGGGTGCATAGGAAATGTGCAAAATTCCTCCAAAAAACTGTTTTGCATCCAGTTGACGTTTCGCACGACGGGCGTGCTCCAGACGCTCAAATTGTGCCGCATAGACGTCTGTAAAGGCCTCCAATTCAACTGTAAACATAAGATACTATAGTTATACTCCATAATATGGAAATCTTTCTTAATCACTTCGTCCAGCCATTTCGCTGGTAACACAGCTGAAGGAGCGCAGTTTCCCGAATTGTTGCAGTTTATTCTTTATTTCAGAGTGTAGGTTGACTTTTGGCACACCAAAAATTAATATATGCCGCGACTCACTAGCAACCGTATAAACCTACAAATTATTCAATCATTAATTTATAAAAATTTCGGTTTTTGTTTCCCTTACCTTCACAGCTTTAAGTTCGCGTCCTTGCCTATATTGCAGCCGTGTTGTGCAATACGCCAGACGTTTATGATGTGATAAGGGCGTTTCCTCCATATTGATATACATTTACTGTAGGTTATTTGTTAAATTTTATAAAAGCATTTCAAATGCCGCAGCTAAACTCTCCGTTGCTCAGCCGGTTTGACTGTGCTCAAAGATATTCTAATCGGCGACTTTTACAACACTTCATTTGCTGCTCGGTATCGGCTGTAATATTAATGTATCGAAAGATGAACTCATCTCTAAATATGTTCAGATTGTTATTAAATTTGAAATAATCGTTTTAATAGGTAAAAACCCATTAGATTTGTTAAACATTCAGTATATAACTGACCTATGACTACTCTTAATATTCTGCTTTTAGCTAGCGAATCAAACACTAATGTATATGTGTTGTATAATTGTTATACTATTTTTGTATTTATTAAATTTTAATTTTAATATATTCTTAGTTAAAAATGATTTTATATTAAAAGCTTTTAACTGCTCTCTGCTGCGGTGCCCACCTGTGGACCGGCTTTTTTAGCTCTGTGGTAATTTTCTAACACTATATTTTGGCATTCACTTGTTGTGTGCGCACAGCTGTTCAATTGGAGTGAACGCGGGAAAGGAAAACTGTACGCGAGAAATGCGCGCGCTGCTTATAAAGAAAAAGTGCTATTGCGCTGAATTCATTAACTTCTGAGCCATTGAACGAACTACAACTGAGAACTCTCAGAACTTAGATAACAATTAAACTAGCTTTTATTTCGTGATTTAGTAAAAAATAAATCGAAGAACATGTCTCAATCTCAAGTAGCCGGCAAAGAAAACATTACGGACAACATGGAAAAGTTCTCGCTAAAGGTGACAAGACACGTTCTTACGCAGTTTGTATATAATATATTTAATCATATGTATATGTACATGTGGCTATATTGGATGTCATTTGCATGTTATTTAAATCAATGCAAATGAAATTACGGCTATTTATAAATTCTTTCTCTTGTATACATTGTTTTTTCATTTTCCTTATTTTTTTTTTTAAGCAGAGCCCAAGCAAGAAAATTTTGACGGAGAACGCCAACAACGTTCGCAAGATGTCGATCACCCCGGAAGATAATGCCAAAGATCAAGCCAGCAGCAATGGTAAGACTGAGCAATCTATAATGGATAAGATTGCTGCGCCATTCGATCCCTCACTGGAGCCGCTGCTCAAGGAGAATCCGCGTCGATTCGTAATCTTTCCCATACAATATCATGATATCTGGCAGATGTACAAGAAGGTATGTATGTTCAACACATGTACAGAAGTGGGTTGTGTTAGTGTTAGAGCTTGATGAAATAGGCGGGAAAATTTATGATAAAGCGCGGTAAAAAGTGCTCACGTCGCAGACGTGACTGATTGTTATGACATATAATATGTATGTATGTGTATTTGTATTCAAGTACCTGGATACATACATACATACATATATAAATACATAATTCTTAATCCCAATAAATGGTTTTGATTCTGCAAACGCAAATTAAGGAAATTGAACATTGATTGTATGTGTACATATAAACGTTTGCCTACATATTATGCTTAATATTTGGAATGTTTTTGGCTATTATCATATAATATGCAAACTTTTGTATAAATACATAGGCATATACACAGACTTGCATACATATTCATATACCTAAGCTCATTTGTATATACATATGTACGCCATATATCGGCTAACATACATATTGGTATGTATGTACTCATGTACAGTTAGACCGTCCTAGCTTTTTAAAATTCAATATAAGGTAAACATGCAAGCAACAACTATCAAGATACATATGTATGTATATAAATAAGAGTAGATATATATCAGCATTTAATTTACTAGAATTTAAAAAATATATATATATGTATGTTCATTGATATTTTTAGGAAAAGCTTCTTCCAAACTAAACCATTCAAGCCAAATATGTACGTTCTTAACTTATGGCTCTAGAGCCAGTAATTAGGAACTGCCTTAATCTACTTCAACAAAAATAATTATTTAAGACATGTTACACTGAGTTAGGAAAGAAGTATGTAATGTTAAATTATTTCGACTAATGAAACCCTTATGTTTCTCTTTAATACCATTTTTATATGGATATTCATCCATATATAAAAGAGTTCATACACATATGTACATATCCATTAATACCCGCACACATGCAAACATGGTTACTCACACACTTAGATAAATACATACCTACATATTTATTTAACGAGATTGAATGATAAGCTATGTACATGCATTTCAATTAGAACTCTAAAAAGATAGCAACAATATTGGACATTGCATTACGCTCTATTACGTACCTCTCGTAAATACTCAAAATTTTCAATTTCTTTTTTCAACTTTAGGCCGAGGCCTCATTCTGGACTGTGGAGGAGGTGGATCTCTCTAAGGACTTGACCGACTGGGCACGTTTAACTGATAACGAGCGCCACTTTATCTCCCATGTGCTCGCCTTCTTTGCCGCTTCCGATGGCATTGTTAATGAGAATCTTGTCGAGCGCTTCAGCCAGGAGGTGCAAATAACCGAAGCTCGTTGTTTCTATGGCTTTCAAATCGCCATGGAGAATGTGCACTCGGAGATGTACAGCGTGCTGATCGATACATATATTAGGGATCCACAGGAACGGGATTATCTGTTCAATGCCGTTGAAACAATGCCCGCTGTCAAGCGAAAGGCCGATTGGGCGCTCTCTTGGATTTCATCGAAGGCCGCGAACTTTGGCGAGAGAATCATTGCGTTCGCTGCCGTGGAGGGAATCTTCTTTAGTGGCAGCTTTGCCTCGATCTTTTGGCTGAAGAAACGTGGTCTGATGCCCGGTCTGACCTTCTCCAATGAGTTGATCTCACGCGACGAGGGCTTGCATTGTGACTTTGCTGTGATGATGTTCCGGCATTTGGTGCAACGTCCTAGCCGTGAGCGCATCATTGAGATCATCTCGGATGCTGTTACCATTGAGCAAGAGTTTCTCACAGATGCTCTGCCCGTCAACTTGATTGGCATGAATTGTGCATTGATGTCCCAGTATATTGAATTTGTTGCGGATCGTCTGTTGGTGGAACTCGGTGTTGGCAAAATCTACAATACGAAGAATCCATTCACCTTTATGGAGATGATCTCGCTGGATGGCAAGACTAACTTCTTCGAGAAAAAAGTTGGCGAATATCAACGTATGGGCGTCACATCGAATCGGCTAGACAATGTCTTTACACTTGATGCGGATTTCTAAAATTACACTTCGCAATCCTCACAGCTGCTGGTTCCGGGTGTTATTTTTAGCCAATATATGTTTTAATCATTAACCACCTTTTCTTAGCATCTAAGCCTATATTTAATCATAACTACATGCGGACACATAACTTAGCAAATCATTATTGTCATTCCTCTTCCAAAAAATCGCTAATTATTGAATTACCTGACAACTAAAGAGCATTATATTTTATCTGACCTTTGTCAAATTATCATTGTACATAACATATTAAATAAAAATTTATAGTATTTACGTATTTAATTAGTTCTCATTTAAGAAATGCGCGGGAAATTCAAAAAGTTATTGACTACAAACAGTTGTTTGATATGCGTTATATTAGGTATGAAGGGCTTGCAAGGGCATTGTGGTGACCACATATACATATATATTCATATACATACATATATAAACGACGGAAACGTGACTGATTATATACTGTGAATATATATGTGGAAAATTTACGTTCATGTAAAAGCAACGATAAGTTTAACCACTTCCAATTGTTGGTAATTGCTCCCATTCGATATCGATAGCTATCGAAGCGCCTACAAACAGCTGGCGCTAAGCTACTTGCAGATGCACAACCACATACAAATCATGCTGGCATATCTAACATAAGTGTTATCTGGAAACAAGAAAATGATAGTGTAAAAACATAATTCGTGAATATGAAAATGTCCAGTCTGATCCACTTATTGATTAATTTCCTGTGATCTTTATTTGTAAAGATGATCAATATATTGTATGCAGAATGAGTGTTAGGCACACAGCTTGGCGCAGTTCGGAGTGCATCATATAATTGCAATCACCAGAAGCAATGGGCTATGCAACACGTGACGACGTTGAGCTGGCGGAACAGTGCACGCTGCTCGACGATCAGGCTGATGACGAAACGCATTTAAGTCAGGTAGCAAGCCGTGATCCAAGAAAACTGCATCCTCGACGCCAACGTTTGAGAATTTCATCGCCAAGGTTTTTACGCAGAATTTGCCATTTCGTGATGTTGATATTCGTATTTCTGTTCTTTCGGTACATAATCCTGCCTAACATTTCAATATATGAACAAAAAAGACATGGTGAGTCGCTATTGAAGCATATGAGATCTTTTTGTATTAACCGTAATTGTTTTTCAGTTCCGCTTGCAGATTGGTCGGCGAATACCTCGCTGGACATCAAGGACTACATACAGGCACAGCAGGAGACCGCACTCATAATACCCCGTGACTTTTGTCGTAATAAAACGTTTCTGATTATTGCCGTCTGTACCGGCCTAAACAATTTCGTGGAACGACAAACAATACGAGAAACCTGGGGAAATACAACAGAATTCAATTACCCGGCTTTTGCCAAGCTGCACGCACACCTGAAAGGCCCTTATCAGCCGCCAATGGAAAAACGTTTGCAGTTCTATGCGGACTATTTGAAAGGCGAGGGCGAAAACCTAACGGCAACTGTACGCATTATATTCATAGTCGGTCGCCAAAGCTATGAATCACACTTGGGCAATGAAACCCTGGTGCGATTGCACAGCGAAGCGGAACTCTACAATGATATTATTCAAGAGGACTTCATTGATACGTACAATAACCTTACTTTGAAATCTGTGATGGCACTGAAGCACATTAGCAAAAGTTGTTTGAAGACTTGCGCTTACTTTCTTAAATGCGATGATGATACGTTTGTCAACGTACCCAATCTTTTGCATTTTCTACTCGGCGGCACAGTGCCGCTCTATAACGACACGCTGGACTATCATGATCGGGGCTCGATGGTGGTGATGTCTCAGCGCAATAGATTGAATGCCACAAGCAACGTTATGATAGGGCATCAGTTTTGTAATGTGGTGCCCGTCAGCGATGTCAGCAGCAAGTGGTATATCCCATACTATATGTAT